ATTTAGTACCCTTTATCAGACAAGGGCTAGCTGCTTGGATACAGTATTCTAAGTGTGGCCTTACATAGGTGGGATATAAAATTCGAAACATATCCTCGTCAAAGCATTTAAATGCTCTGCGAAGCGACCATAGCGTGCGATAGCCTTTGGAAGCAACCGCATTGCAGTGCGTAGTGGTTTTTAAGTCGTGACTTATAATTACTCCTAAGTCTTTGTGCTCATGAACGCGTGGCAGAGATGTACCGTTAATGGTATAATGGTAACTAATATCGTGCCCGATGTGCATGAACACGCTCTTCCTGGAATTAACTTCCAGGCCCCAATCATGAGCCCACCTAACTAATTCGTCTAAATCTGCTTGGAGATAATAATAATAATATATTTCTGCAATAGCAGGTACACGCCAGTTTTACAGGCATGATCTACAAGTTACAACATATACTGGTTCATAGTATGCATCCCAAGCAAGGTTGTTTAGTAATTATAATCTATAAAAGTTGATAGCAGTTCATTCGTTCAGATATAGTGTGTTTTCATAAGAATAGTTTTCAAAGGGGCATCGCGTCCACGTTACATACCAGATCCAATCTCGACAAAAAGTGTATTGGGGTTTCGGTCGTGCTAAGTATTTATGTAATGCAGCTTTTTAAGTTTATTGTTGTTATAAAGTAGACATGTGGAGCGCCTGGTATGAACTATGACCTTGGGAAAACGCGTTCGTCGAGCTTGTTCCAGATGTCAGAAGTTACAAAGCTTCACCGTCAGAGCAAGATTGTGAAGAAAAAAAGAGAGAAACCGAGAAGCAGCAAGGCATTTGGATATGAACGATAACCAATGTTTAACATTTATTAGTGGAACAGATGGAGGTATGATAAATTATTAGATTAAATTGATACTAGCTCATGTTGCAAGAGTGAAGTGTGATTAGGGGCTCCAGAGGAGAGAATCCAGTAATAAAGAACAATGAGTTGTGATATTTATCAAGGTGAAGTGGGTTCAAATGAAGGAGGGAAGTCAGGGTTGGAATGAGGAAGAACAGAGAGTGCATATAGAGAGTAGAGTGTTGAGTAAAATAGCAACCATATCCTTTACAGCCAGTTTTTTTTCATCATCCGATGCCTGCCACACAGTTTTTATGTGAAAGTCAGAGTTAGCATGTTATCGGTTGTCTTAGTAGAATAGTTAATACAGGTTAAAAATTAGAAACATGAGTCTGAATGGTGAGTGTAGGAGAGCAATTTCAATATCACAGATCTATTGACTTGTTCTCATCCATAAAGAGCCTGATACAAACAAAATGATAACAACGATCAGTCTCATTTCTTATTGTTCTCCAGATTTTAACATCATCCGCAAACAATAATGTCGACGACTTATGCAATAAAGGTAGTTCTTTAATATACAGAAGGAAAAGTAAAGGGCCTAAGATGGTGCCTTGGGGTACACCACTTTTGACCGGTTTCCATTCGGATAGAGTTCCATTGACCCTCACTCTCTGTCTGCGGTCACATAAGAAGCTTCCTATCCATTCCTGTATAGCACCTGTTATACCAAAGCTCGAGAGCTTTTGCATAAGACCTAAGTGTGAAACCTTATCAAACGCTTTGCTAAAATCTATGAATATCACGTCGACAGACTGGCCGTTGTCTAGAGCAGCTGTCCAATCCTCTCTCGCAATGAGTAAGTTAGTCAAGCATGAATGCTTGTTGCGAAACCCATGTTGCTTGGGAGTTAACAGATTGCACGAATCTATGTGGCTTAGTAGCTTAGCCCGAATTAATTTTTCAAGTAACTTAACTACTATACTAGTCAGGCTAACAGGTCGGTAGTTAGATACTATCCGTCTCTGACCATCCTTAAATATAGGACTAACTATGGCGTCTTTCTAGTCTCTAGGTAGTTGAGCCTGTGAAAGGGACATGTTGAAGAGCATCGTGAGCAGTCTTGAGATAATGTCCACAAGCGACGACAGTAAACGTGGGTGTAACCCATTGGGGCCCGGTATCTTACAAGGTTTTAGGTTAGTTATCAAAGGAAGAACAATATCCTCTGTCACGTGTAAAGGTCCTATGGCTGGTATCTCCTTGTCAACGGGACAAGTAGTTGTAACACTACATGTAGAGTAGACTTCACTGCAATAGTTGGCAAATGTCTCCGCTTTCGCTAGATCAGATTCAGCCAATAAAGCTGAATTTTCGCTTAACAGTAATGAGGGGATACCATCACTACGTTTCGTCCGCCTTTTAACGTACGAAAACATTCGCTTCGGACAGGTACGGCTATCGTATGTCAACTGTCGTTCGTAAGCCGTGCGGGATTTAGCTATGGTCTTTTTACATATATTCCGGATTTTTTATATTCGCACTTAAATGATGCCTGACGTGTTGACAAGAATAAATCCCAGAAGTGTTTCCTACGCTTCAACAGCTTCCGGGTTTCCTTATTAATCCATGAAGGGCAATATGATAGCTTACGTGCTGACCATGGGATAAACGGTTGAGTTACGGATTTGAACGTAGACCTAAACCTATTCCATGCATCATCAATCGATCCATCAGCATCGACCGACCAGTCAATTGAGATAGCATAGTCCCTGATTGCCGGAATATTAGCTCTCCAGATATTAGGACGGGGTGGAGCAGATGCAAATTCTATACAATGTATCCGGAACTTAAAGGAAAGTACGACATGGTCACTATTCGCCAGTGGGGGAAGGTGTTGAATGTCGACGATATCTTCACAGTGATGTGTGAGGACAAGGTCTATCAATGACGGATTATGTTCCAAGTCTATATGCGTCGGCTTAACGATACATTGTACATGTGCACATTGAATAATTGATGACATAAGGACGCTACTGAAACCCCCACCTGGAGCTGTGAGCTCTATCAAGTTTATATGGGGTGCATTGAAGTCTCCAACGATGAGACAAGATTCTGCCTTACTCCAAGAACAGACGTGTCTTAGGATAAACTCGTCAGCAAGACAACACGGATTATGATATATCCCTCCTATCGTCACTAACCCGTTTCTAGACCTAATTGAACAACATACTACCTCACACGTACCACTTACATGCGCCTCCGATATGATCGAGTTAATGCAGAAGTGGTCCCTAACATATAATATTATGCCTCCTCCCTTGCGACTTCTAACTCTATCACTTCTGATACAGATGTAGCCTGAAATGACTGGAGAATAGTCTATATCTACAGTGAGCCAAGTTTCGGTGATAACAATTATATCCAGATTTAAGTCGTCTACCATCAAACTTTGTTCAGACATCTTATTTCGAAGACTACGAGCATTCGTGTAACACACATTTAAGGTGTTTTTGGAGACATAGGTTCCACCCACACAGGTCTCGGAAGCATTGGCTTCCAAGACCTAACTACCCGAAAACCCTTAATCGTAAGGTTCGCTTCACCGTTTAGCTTTCGAGTTTTTAACTCTGTTAGGGCATTCTTCCACTTGATCCGATCCTCAATTGGCCAGTCAGGTCGAATACGAATGTTTGAGTCACGAGTTTTGCGTGCGTTATTTAGTAATACGTTCCTTTCCTCAAAATTACCGAGTACTAATTTAAGGATCCTTCTCTGTTGGGTTTCGCCTCCAACATATTTACCGAGTCTGATGACATTAGAGATATGTACCCCTGGGACCTCAATGGGCAGTATATTTCTGATGAGAGATTCCACTAACTGCAGGTCGTGGGCATGTCTCTTAGCGGGATCGGTGTCTTTCGATTCTGACAAGTTCCAGATGATTACACTAGGCACCTGTTTAACTTCCTTAAAAGCCGTGTTCACGGCCTTCGATCGTGACGTCAGATCCTGCCAGTTAGCTACCGGCTTCTTACTGTTAACTTCCTTTATAACAGTGTCATGTGGGTCGAGCGAGTGACTCACAACAACATTTGGTGAAGTTAAACTGTTTCCATCCACAACAGTATTAGTTATTTTCTTACATTTGGACTTGAGCGGAGTTGCCTTATGCTCAGGACGTGAGTCCAACGAGGACTTATCGACTATACGCGCGCTTTCTTTGGGTATTTTTCCGTCTCTTTTGCGTTTCCGCGTAATCCATTTCCCACTAGTCTCAGCATCCAGATTGGAACTACTCTGGACGATAGTGGTTCTAGCCGGGTCCTCAGTCGCTGCTAAAGCAACTGGTCCCTCAGTACTTAATGGCATGCCTTTCATTGGTTGTGTCGGAGTAGAAATTTTTGCTTCATGTTGCGAAATTGGGTGTCTGGTACCTGCCATGGCAGCATTTACGACACTGATACAATCTTCGTTATCAGTATCCATGTTGCCGGCACGGCCTACGTCGACCTTTTTAGCTAACGCTAGAAGGCTGATGGCTTCCTGAATGAGTAATGTCTTGCTTGAGCAACAAAACATACAGAGCCAATGAGAATTTGGTTTCGAGCACCTTTTATAGGCAGCAGGGCTTAAGCGGGTGCACATTTTGTGAAACCACTTCTTACATTCGTCACATTGCATCCCTTCTTCCACGGGGAATAAGCAATATGGCTGTCCACACTTGTGTACAGAGCCGACCATCTTAGAATGAAGCAAAATGATAGGCAAGGTAGATATGTAAGACAAATCACAACCTTAATCAAATAAACAAGCCGCAGTCGATCAAGAATGCTTTGATGCAGTCAATACACAAAAGCAGGATCGAAACACACAAATACAATGTCACGTTAACTGAAATAAATTCAATCAAAGTGTAAACGGTAGTTTTGATACGTAATTTACGATCAAAACAGTGAATTTAACCCAACAAGAAACAATACCACTGTCGAAACCAGATATTAATTTCCACTACACGAAAGGGATCTTTTATCGGGAAACTTTGGTTTTCCCTTCAAATAGTAAAAATTACTTCAGTGTAGAAATCTTTGTGCCGCGTTTTTAGGAACTGATCGCTACACTCACTTGACCTTGCGGGTCTTCTCAACGTGTTGGGTCCCGAGGTTTCGCTGAGAAGTTATGGAAGCTTGTACAGCAATTATGAGAGAAAACGTCGATTTGAGTTCACAACTGAATGAGCAAGACTTTCCTGCCCTCCCAAAAGCGGGGTTATCTCGTCCTGTCAAAGTCATAGGTGCTTTAACACCTTCCTACCAAGCTAAAACCACGGAAGTATGACTACGTTTGTCTACTAACATTGTTAGGTCTTGGAAATACCCTTTGAGGAGAGGCGATTCGTTAATAATGAAGAAGATAATATTTCGGCCGGTAGAAGATACAATGTTCAGAGTAAAATCTGTATGGAAATAGCAAGAGATACAAATGTCGAAATGAATTTGAACAGCTCCAAAAATCATATTTTGACGGTTGCTATCTCGGGAGAGCCAAGCAGAGTGGCTGAGGCAAAGAGAAGGGTGGTAGCTGAATTACAACAACAGGTAAGAGGATTGTAAGTGGTATTTTGTGTTAAAGTCTCAAAATTATGAGTTGTTGTTGCCGCAAAAAATATAGTTCGGTCTCATGTGTTAAATGGTTCGTATGGAGGTAATAATCTCCGATCAGTAATAGACGCAGTTCAATTTTAAACTTGTCTAGCTGCAAATGTAGTTAAATGTCACTGATTTAAATGTCTAAGAAAAAAGGGAAGACGGCAAGACATTGGCTACAAGTTACAACATATACTGGTTCATAGTATGCATCCCAAGCAAGGTTGTTTAGTAATTATAATCTATAAAAGTTGATAGCAGTTCATTCGTTCAGATATAGTGTGTTTTCATAAGAATAGTTTTCAAAGGGGCATCGCGTCCACGTTACATACCAGATCCAATCTCGACAAAAAGTGTATTGGGGTTTCGGTCGTGCTAAGTATTTATGTAATGCAGCTTTTTAAGTTTATTGTTGTTATAAAGTAGACATGTGGAGCGCCTGGTATGAACTATGACCTTGGGAAAACGCGTTCGTCGAGCTTGTTCCAGATGTCAGAAGTTACAAAGCTTCACCGTCAGAGCAAGATTGTGAAGAAAAAAAGAGAGAAACCGAGAAGCAGCAAGGCATTTGGATATGAACGATAACCAATGTTTAACATTTATTAGTGGAACAGATGGAGGTATGATAAATTATTAGATTAAATTGATACTAGCTCATGTTGCAAGAGTGAAGTGTGATTAGGGGCTCCAGAGGAGAGAATCCAGTAATAAAGAACAATGAGTTGTGATATTTATCAAGGTGAAGTGGGTTCAAATGAAGGAGGGAAGTCAGGGTTGGAATGAGGAAGAACAGAGAGTGCATATAGAGAGTAGAGTGTTGAGTAAAATAGCAACCATATCCTTTACAGCCAGTTTTTTTTCATCATCCGATGCCTGCCACACAGTTTTTATGTGAAAGTCAGAGTTAGCATGTTATCGGTTGTCTTAGTAGAATAGTTAATACAGGTTAAAAATTAGAAACATGAGTCTGAATGGTGAGTGTAGGAGAGCAATTTCAATATCACAGATCTATTGACTTGTTCTCATCCATAAAGAGCCTGATACAAACAAAATGATAACAACGATCAGTCTCATTTCTTATTGTTCTCCAGATTTTAACATCATCCGCAAACAATAATGTCGACGACTTATGCAATAAAGGTAGTTCTTTAATATACAGAAGGAAAAGTAAAGGGCCTAAGATGGTGCCTTGGGGTACACCACTTTTGACCGGTTTCCATTCGGATAGAGTTCCATTGACCCTCACTCTCTGTCTGCGGTCACATAAGAAGCTTCCTATCCATTCCTGTATAGCACCTGTTATACCAAAGCTCGAGAGCTTTTGCATAAGACCTAAGTGTGAAACCTTATCAAACGCTTTGCTAAAATCTATGAATATCACGTCGACAGACTGGCCGTTGTCTAGAGCAGCTGTCCAATCCTCTCTCGCAATGAGTAAGTTAGTCAAGCATGAATGCTTGTTGCGAAACCCATGTTGCTTGGGAGTTAACAGATTGCACGAATCTATGTGGCTTAGTAGCTTAGCCCGAATTAATTTTTCAAGTAACTTAACTACTATACTAGTCAGGCTAACAGGTCGGTAGTTAGATACTATCCGTCTCTGACCATCCTTAAATATAGGACTAACTATGGCGTCTTTCTAGTCTCTAGGTAGTTGAGCCTGTGAAAGGGACATGTTGAAGAGCATCGTGAGCAGTCTTGAGATAATGTCCACAAGCGACGACAGTAAACGTGGGTGTAACCCATCGGGGCCCGGTATCTTACAAGGTTTTAGGTTAGTTATCAAAGGAAGAACAATATCCTCTGTCACGTGTAAAGGTCCTATGGCTGGTATCTCCTTGTCAACGGGACAAGTAGTTGTAACACTACATGTAGAGTAGACTTCACTGCAATAGTTGGCAAATGTCTCCGCTTTCGCTAGATCAGATTCAGCCAATAAAGCTGAATTTTCGCTTAACAGTAATGAGGGGATACCATCACTACGTTTCGTCCGCCTTTTAACGTACGAAAACATTCGCTTCGGACAGGTACGGCTATCGTATGTCAACTGTCGTTCGTAAGCCGTGCGGGATTTAGCTATGGTCTTTTTACATATATTCCGGATTTTTTATATTCGCACTTAAATGATGCCTGACGTGTTGACAAGAATAAATCCCAGAAGTGTTTCCTACGCTTCAACAGCTTCCGGGTTTCCTTATTAATCCATGAAGGGCAATATGATAGCTTACGTGCTGACCATGGGATAAACGGTTGAGTTACGGATTTGAACGTAGACCTAAACCTATTCCATGCATCATCAATCGATCCATCAGCATCGACCGACCAGTCAATTGAGATAGCATAGTCCCTGATTGCCGGAATATTAGCTCTCCAGATATTAGGACGGGGTGGAGCAGATGCAAATTCTATACAATGTATCCGGAACTTAAAGGAAAGTACGACATGGTCACTATTCGCCAGTGGGGGAAGGTGTTGAATGTCGACGATATCTTCACAGTGATGTGTGAGGACAAGGTCTATCAATGACGGATTATGTTCCAAGTCTATATGCGTCGGCTTAACGATACATTGTACATGTGCACATTGAATAATTGATGACATAAGGACGCTACTGAAACCCCCACCTGGAGCTGTGAGCTCTATCAAGTTTATATGGGGTGCATTGAAGTCTCCAACGATGAGACAAGATTCTGCCTTACTCCAAGAACAGACGTGTCTTAGGATAAACTCGTCAGCAAGACAACACGGATTATGATATATCCCTCCTATCGTCACTAACCCGTTTCTAGACCTAATTGAACAACATACTACCTCACACGTACCACTTACATGCGCCTCCGATATGATCGAGTTAATGCAGAAGTGGTCCCTAACATATAATATTATGCCTCCTCCCTTGCGACTTCTAACTCTATCACTTCTGATACAGATGTAGCCTGAAATGACTGGAGAATAGTCTATATCTACAGTGAGCCAAGTTTCGGTGATAACAATTATATCCAGATTTAAGTCGTCTACCATCAAACTTTGTTCAGACATCTTATTTCGAAGACTACGAGCATTCGTGTAACACACATTTAAGGTGTTTTTGGAGACATAGGTTCCACCCACACAGGTCTCGGAAGCATTGGCTTCCAAGACCTAACTACCCGAAAACCCTTAATCGTAAGGTTCGCTTCACCGTTTAGCTTTCGAGTTTTTAACTCTGTTAGGGCATTCTTCCACTTGATCCGATCCTCAATTGGCCAGTCAGGTCGAATACGAATGTTTGAGTCACGAGTTTTGCGTGCGTTATTTAGTAATACGTTCCTTTCCTCAAAATTACCGAGTACTAATTTAAGGATCCTTCTCTGTTGGGTTTCGCCTCCAACATATTTACCGAGTCTGATGACATTAGAGATATGTACCCCTGGGACCTCAATGGGCAGTATATTTCTGATGAGAGATTCCACTAACTGCAGGTCGTGGGCATGTCTCTTAGCGGGATCGGTGTCTTTCGATTCTGACAAGTTCCAGATGATTACACTAGGCACCTGTTTAACTTCCTTAAAAGCCGTGTTCACGGCCTTCGATCGTGACGTCAGATCCTGCCAGTTAGCTACCGGCTTCTTACTGTTAACTTCCTTTATAACAGTGTCATGTGGGTCGAGCGAGTGACTCACAACAACATTTGGTGAAGTTAAACTGTTTCCATCCACAACAGTATTAGTTATTTTCTTACATTTGGACTTGAGCGGAGTTGCCTTATGCTCAGGACGTGAGTCCAACGAGGACTTATCGACTATACGCGCGCTTTCTTTGGGTATTTTTCCGTCTCTTTTGCGTTTCCGCGTAATCCATTTCCCACTAGTCTCAGCATCCAGATTGGAACTACTCTGGACGATAGTGGTTCTAGCCGGGTCCTCAGTCGCTGCTAAAGCAACTGGTCCCTCAGTACTTAATGGCATGCCTTTCATTGGTTGTGTCGGAGTAGAAATTTTTGCTTCATGTTGCGAAATTGGGTGTCTGGTACCTGCCATGGCAGCATTTACGACACTGATACAATCTTCGTTATCAGTATCCATGTTGCCGGCACGGCCTACGTCGACCTTTTTAGCTAACGCTAGAAGGCTGATGGCTTCCTGAATGAGTAATGTCTTGCTTGAGCAACAAAACATACAGAGCCAATGAGAATTTGGTTTCGAGCACCTTTTATAGGCAGCAGGGCTTAAGCGGGTGCACATTTTGTGAAACCACTTCTTACATTCGTCACATTGCATCCCTTCTTCCACGGGGAATAAGCAATATGGCTGTCCACACTTGTGTACAGAGCCGACCATCTTAGAATGAAGCAAAATGATAGGCAAGGTAGATATGTAAGACAAATCACAACCTTAATCAAATAAACAAGCCGCAGTCGATCAAGAATGCTTTGATGCAGTCAATACACAAAAGCAGGATCGAAACACACAAATACAATGTCACGTTAACTGAAATAAATTCAATCAAAGTGTAAACGGTAGTTTTGATACGTAATTTACGATCAAAACAGTGAATTTAACCCAACAAGAAACAATACCACTGTCGAAACCAGATATTAATTTCCACTACACGAAAGGGATCTTTTATCGGGAAACTTTGGTTTTCCCTTCAAATAGTAAAAATTACTTCAGTGTAGAAATCTTTGTGCCGCGTTTTTAGGAACTGATCGCTACACTCACTTGACCTTGCGGGTCTTCTCAACGTGTTGGGTCCCGAGGTTTCGCTGAGAAGTTATGGAAGCTTGTACAGCAATTATGAGAGAAAACGTCGATTTGAGTTCACAACTGAATGAGCAAGACTTTCCTGCCCTCCCAAAAGCGGGGTTATCTCGTCCTGTCAAAGTCATAGGTGCTTTAACACCTTCCTACCAAGCTAAAACCACGGAAGTATGACTACGTTTGTCTACTAACATTGTTAGGTCTTGGAAATACCCTTTGAGGAGAGGCGATTCGTTAATAATGAAGAAGATAATATTTCGGCCGGTAGAAGATACAATGTTCAGAGTAAAATCTGTATGGAAATAGCAAGAGATACAAATGTCGAAATGAATTTGAACAGCTCCAAAAATCATATTTTGACGGTTGCTATCTCGGGAGAGCCAAGCAGAGTGGCTGAGGCAAAGAGAAGGGTGGTAGCTGAATTACAACAACAGGTAAGAGGATTGTAAGTGGTATTTTGTGTTAAAGTCTCAAAATTATGAGTTGTTGTTGCCGCAAAAAATATAGTTCGGTCTCATGTGTTAAATGGTTCGTATGGAGGTAATAATCTCCGATCAGTAATAGACGCAGTTCAATTTTAAACTTGTCTAGCTGCAAATGTAGTTAAATGTCACTGATTTAAATGTCTAAGAAAAAAGGGAAGACGGCAAGACATTGGCTTTGGAAAACCACACTTCAGAGTACGAGATTGGTCTAGGCGATAACCGGCAATAAATTCCGAATAATGTCTTTTTCATTTGAACTACTACCCGCTTCAATTGGTACAAATATTGAACCGTGACCTTATATAATCAATTGCAGCCTATTGATAAGTCATTAGACGATCTCAGAGGTACTAGTTCGATGTACTCATATCATGGGTTTTCCTGAAGTTTCATGTGGTGGCGCCGAACTGGTGAAATAAATTATCATGCTTATTTAGAAATAGTGTCATCTACCTCAGTAATCGTCAAAAGATAGAAAAATAGTATAATGCCGCTTTATAAGCTGGTCCGCACCTATTGGCTATTTTAGTTGCTTAGGAAGCCCTCAAAGGTTCGAATCGGTTTCAAACTGAGTGAATTAAAAGCAGATTTCATCCATTATGAAAAGCAAAATTACTATTGGAAGTAGTTCATTTTCGGGAGTCAGATTCCAAATATCGAGTTCTTCTAATCGGGTTAAATTACAGCAGAAAAACTTGATTATCCGAATAGAGCAAATTGATTGTCATTAGTTCTTCAACAAATGTGTTTCATTTTGACAGTTCAAGTGAATGACTGCCATATGAAGATAAAAAAAATATTTGGGATATTTAATCTCATGCTCTTCAGACAAGGATTAAACGTATACATCCTAATTATCTTTGAAATACAGCTGACAATCATATTGAATAAAAATTAAGAAAAATGCAGTATTTTAAAGACCCACAGTACTGGCCGGTATGTTCAAGGTGCGGTATTCCGATTGCGTTGAGGTTGGTCAAACCTTACCCGATGGGGTCGATTGGCTTTTCTGAAAGTAGCTCCCTATTTCCAAGGCCAACAAACCTAGTTTCTTAGTGTAATCGATGTCCTCAGGTCTTGGCGTGAGGGCGTCGCACCAGGGGGCAGCTATATGTTACATGCATACCGGTAATACAAGTTTTCACTCATGCATCCCATGGCACACATATGTATATTCACCCGCCTGAGTAGATGGTCACCACTCCCATCAAACGTATTTGTCACAACTGACTCTCTTACGCATCAAATGCATATCACTGGTACAAAGGCTTTCGTACATATGTTCCATGACATACACATAAGCATAAGCAGTCTTTCAAGGGAGGTTAATGGTTACGTCTCCCTAGTATTCGCTACCATATTTTTTCATTGTCTTTGTCCTGAAGGTTTAGACCGTTGATACAGGGCAGAAAATTTTCAGCTTACGTTACTTATGTTAAACAGCGCGTGTACTATTTGCATAATCCTACATACATAAACCTAAGGTCCGAGGGCAAAGTCGTATTAATGACTGTACTGTGAAGGCAGTAAGGTGTTTCCTTCAGACAACCAGCATAACAGCGATGCTGCCTTCCTACAAGTAAGGGTGGGGTTAGAAAAGATCGACCCTAAAAATGTACACCTCGCCTTATCCCACGGATATTCGGCTCCGGCGGTATAGTCCCAACAAGTACGAAGCTAACATGAAAATTACTCAGAAAGAGGTGTGTGGCCAGCCTCAAGCAGTTGCCCCTTAGGCACTGTGGTCACGCTCTCCGGTCACTAAGACCGCCTCTAACCCAATTTCCCTTTCAGGTACCTCCAGAATAACCCTTCCACGATGTCGGCAACCGAGTAGTGATAACCGCCTTCATACCTCTAACAGCACTTTAGATCACTGTATTCATAATCAATTTCCCTATTCAATTTCTATTATCGCTCCTTTCAACTCCAAACTTCCTCTATTGACTTCCTCCTTAAGTGTTACCATGGCCAACGATTGTAGTGCGCGAAACAGTCCTAGGTCTACCAAAACCTCGCTCCAAACTACACATTGAAGCCTTCAGCGTACGGATCCTATGTCAAATCGGCCAGCAGGCCTCCTTGGCTAAAACCCTAGAATCTCGTACCATTGATGTATGCTGTGTCTCCGAAACACGCCTACAGAATCCTAGTGTGGTCATCCACTTGACCTCACCTCGCCAAAACGGAGAGCCGATGTGGCATGCCCTCCTTTTATTTGGCGACCCGATGGTGAGTGTAGGCATAGCACTATGTACAAGGGCAGAACAAGCACTATTAGAATGGATCCCCGTTAACAGTCGTCTATGTACTGTACGGCTAAACGGCTCCATAAGAACTCGGAAGTATAAAGACACAGGTCGTTGCCTCTTCGTCCTGCCTACTCTCCCACTGAATGTAGCCCGGATGAAGTAAAAATGACTTTTACAGAAAGTTTTATGAACTTCAGGAGCTAAACTCTCATAGTACTCGTTGCAGGTGAATTTAATGCCCAAGTAGGTAACTTATACCAAACAGAAAGACATTTAGGTGGGTATTTTAGTATTCCGGCTAAGCAAACAGATAATGGTGATCGTCTGTTGCAACTATGTTCAGACAATTGTTTATTTATAGCAAACACTAATTTAAGCTTAAGGAGTGACATCGTCTAACATGGCGATCCCCTACACAAAAACAACGACTGACTCAAATGGACCATATTGCTACCAGTTATCGTTGGAGTGGCTCGATAAAAGACTGTCGCTCGTTCCGGAGTACGTGTTTGGACTCTGATCATGCTCTAATACGAGTACGCATTCGCTTGCGCCTCACTGGAAGCGGAGAAACCACATTAAGAAGACTCATTAGAGTTGAGCTCAGTGACGAGAAAACCAAAAGTAGATTCCGGGTACAACTGAGGTCACACTTAGGTAGTTCTGAAAATGAGACTGACCTAGATGTTGCTTAAAAAGTTATACGAACAGCTGTAGAAACAGCAGTAACATCTTTTAGTGATTTAAACCAAAGGGTTACAAAAAACCGTGTATTTCTACTAAGTCTACTGCACTGATGGATTCCCACTTAAACTTAGGATAGGGAGTGAAGTAGACGAACGCGTCGACAACTTCACTTATCTTGGAAGTCTGATCAGCCCTAATGGGTTGGTGTCTGACAAAACGTCTGAGCGGATTCAAAAAGTTCATTCGACTCCTGCCAACTTACATCACTTATGGAGAAGGCGAGATATCCGTCTATCAATTAAGGGACGAGTATACTGCTCAGCAGTTCGCTCTGTTCTACTTTACTGCTGTGAAACATGGCCATTAAGTGTAGAAGATACTCGTAAGTTACTAGTATTTGACCACAGATGTCTTAGAAATATTGCTCGCATCTGCTGGGATCACCGGGAAAGTAATAATGAGGTTATACGCAGGGTATTGGAGAATGATGGTACATAAATTGATGAGGTTGTGAATCTTCATTGATTGAGATGGTTAGACCACGTGTTACGTATGTCTGAACACGACGGGCGTTGCTGACGGGTGTTGGGGATAGTTGGAAGAAAGTTAGGAGTGGCCAAACTAAAACGTGGCATCAGTCCACAAAGTCACTAACTTCTAGTCTGAGCCATGTTGGTAGGTGCAGGCTAATTGATTGGGGTCCGCGTAACTATCGTAACCATTGGTTGGAAACTCTGTGTGACAAGGCTCAGAATGGATCAAATTGGCGTAGGTGTATACACTCGTTGTCTTCCCTTAAACTGTGAGATTAAAATTACTTTGTACCTTTCTTTCTACGAACTAATTATCTCTCCTTGTATAATATTCTTATATGCAATCTTTTTCTTTATGCATTACTACCACTGAAGTAACTGCTTCTACAGATTTGATGTTCATCTTGTTGTGCTAATGAAGTATGTCGACTTGAACCGATGCATGTATATGCCTGGTCCTACGTTGTAGCTGACTAACTGACTGGTTATCTGGTGCTTCAGCCCTCATTATTTTTAATCAAACCCAACCTTATTTTTCCAGGAAACTGTTCGAATTTCTGTTCCGGTTGAGTGTCGGGGTTATTTAATTGGTCGAAAAGGGGAGCGTTTACAAGAACTTGAGTCATCTACGATGACACGAATTAGCATTCCACCTCACAATGCTCTCGATCCAAATGTCGTCATTGTTACAGGTCCCAGAAGAGGGATTTTAGAAGCAGAAGGTCTAATATATGAAATTGTTCGCAAACAATCCCAACAAGCGTTTGAACGGCTTTCGATCCCAAAAATTTACCATCCTTTTATATGTGGACCGTAAGTTCATACTCATTATTATATTCAACCCGAATGGATTTTGACAAAAGTCTTACTTTATAGAAACAACCAAATTGTAAATGATCTGAAGTCTCGAACTGTCACCAAAATCAACATTCCTCCTCCAAATGTATCAGTCGATGAAATAACTGTTTCTGGCAAGCGCGAAGGTGTTGCACAAGCGGTTAAAGAAATTCAAGCTATATATAATGAACGGGTAAGTCTTTTTAAGCAGATGAGAGTGTACTGATTCAGTATATCTGGTTTTATGTAGTCTCTAAAATATTTGAAAAATCCCCATATTGTGATTGGGAACAATATTGTTTTCGATTAGATCCTCATCAGGCTTATGAACACAAAGACTTGGATTGTTGGCTCGAATTCCTATAGCTTCTGCTATGTGTAAGAGACGAGATCGAACCTCATAAGGAAATGTAGTAGAAATACGATAAATAGCCTTAAATGACTTATTTCTGTCTATTAGATGACCGCTAACGATTAAGTGTGAAAGAACCGAGTTGCGTATTGTCTTGACAGTACCTTTTCCTAACCACGAAGGTAGATGTTCAATAACTCTTTGGTTCAGTTGTCTGGTAGTGTGCCCAGTGTGGCTTTCTCCACGGGAGCAGCTGAATTCGTAGATACACATAGAAGTGGCATAACCGGGTAACTTATCCTTTAGTTGGGGAATCACCATATATCGGGTCGAGTACGATAGACAGAGGTCGGCTGCATTAAACATTCTCTTCACTGCTCTAATCAGTCTATCACGTAGTACATCACCAGCTACATCTCCGTTGAATTGCAGCTTCATGAAGAGAGGTTTCTTCTTAGCTATCAATATCACTATTTTCTTGTTTGTTACACACAAGTGTTTCTTCAGGAAACCTTGTGGATAACCCATTTCAATCAACATATTATGTATAAGCTCTAACTCCTTGTTAATTGTATCGACCGAGCATATCTTCCTAGCTCTATTTGCCAGACATTTGACTAGGTTTCTCTTATAATGAAGGGGTACAAAGCTTAAGAAATGTGTGTACTGGCTTGATGAAGAACTTTTCCTATGCACACTTTTACTGATAGAACTGTTTGCTTTTCTGTGTAAGAAAACGTCAAGGAAATTTAGTTTATTATTTAGTTCCTCTTCACATGTAAATTTAGTTGCTGGGTGTTTATTGTTAAATAGTTCTGATAGTTCTTTTCCAATGTCCTGATCGACAATAATCAAAGTATCATGAACTTACCGACAATAGAAGTCAAGCTTATCGAGAGGTTCGTTTTCTAGTTTCGCAAGAAAAAAAAATCAGCAAGGGTAGGACCTAGATATGAACCCATTGCTATACCATTAATTTGTCTATAATATGTGTTATTACAGAACGACTGCACTTTCATTGTACATTTCAGAAGTAATTCTTTAAGACTAACCTCGGGAATTCCAATATTGATTTGTTTTTCAAGTAATTGTTAGCACACAAATTCAATAGTCTCACTTAATGGTACATTGGTGAACAGGGAAGCAACATCCAGAGATATCATCCATTTCCCATTTAAGTTCATATGTTCAACTTTCGAAATAAGATCGAGAACGTCTTTCACGCTTCTGTTGACGATTAGTTTGTGTAAGGGACCTAGGATTCGAACTAGATATGTGTAATTTACTTTACCATAAAACTGCAAAGTGGTTATATTTCAGTGTTTATATTTTTATAATCATTGACCTATTTCCCATTATGTAATATTGATTCAAGCATCTATTATTCCTATCACAACTAGTACACCTGTTATCACACTACTAATTTGTACTTTTCACTTACTAAGTTTAGTTATATAATCTGTTCCGCTGTTATCATTGACACTTAAACTGCCTTGATTGGTTTAATAATTTCGTATATGCATATAAATATTACTGTATATTAGAGTAAAGACTGATGAGGATCTAATCGCTTATATATTTTGTTCTAAATCTGAAATATTTCCCCTTTTTCTCGGATGTGCACGTTATTATCCTTTTTTGTTTCATAAATTTCTTCCTAATGAATTGGTACATAATTTTGTATAAATTCTGAAACTTAGAATACGAAACATCCCAAGCACCAAGTTGATGATTAACAATATTTCTCCTCACATTTGACGACACTGTTAATTCGATCTTGTAAAATTTTGTATTTTATGTTTCCAGCTTGAAACTACGAAGACAATTACTGTTAAGGTTGCTAGATCACAGCATCGCATCATATTTGGTCAGCGCGGTTCTGGAATCGCAGATATTTTAGCTCAAACTAGTGTGTCTGTCGAACTGCCAGTGGATGATGGGAATGAGGAGATTATTTTGCGAGGTAAACCTGAAGATCTTGGACGTGCACTCACAATGGTTTATGAACGGGCTCAAAGCACCATGACAGAGGAAATTGAAGCACCTAATCGCTTCCATAGACTATTAATTGGAAGAGGTGGTTCTAAACTAACAGAGTTACTGGAAGGATATAAACGAGTAAGTTTTATCCATGTTTCAGCAAAAAATTCAAAATACTTCCACTTAGTTGGTTATAGTTTGATTTTTAGGCCTCTTGTACGATATACGGTAAAGCTCGGACTATTCAATCCACACTTAATCAGTTAACCATTAGAATAAATGAGAACATTCCTACTCTACATTTGTAAAACGTAGCCTTTCAAAGTTGGGAATGTTATTTTACTCTGTATTCGATCTTCGCTGTCAGAAAAGGACGGCTCTCATCCGACGCCGACATTATGTAGTCAGTGCGGAGGTCCGGAAACGTGTTCAAACACAGCGAAGATGGTACCCACAAATTGTTGACCTACATCTTGTAACGCACTATTCGTGACACTTAATTCCTCATGTGTATTTCGTGGTACCCATGTTTTAGTCTTAAAAATTGGTGTTTCTTTATAATCAATGGCTACGGTAACAGTATATATTCTTATTCTACAAATAATCACTTAAAAGCTATTAGTTCTTGATGCTGGCTACGAAGTTAATGACAATAACTTGCATAAGTATCTGGTTCGGGATCTTTCGTTCACATCACCTTAGTTTAGAAGAGGAGAGAAAATTCGGTTATCATTAGACGCTTATAAAATGGTTCTCTCTGTGACATTTATAAGTAAAACAGTAAACATCCTGCCTACAAGTGTGTAACTCATAAGTGGAAGTTCAAAAGTATGTTAGCTATTAGTCAAGAATGCAAGAGGAAAAGTGCTTATGAAGGATATAATCTCAACTCATTATGATATCTCAGGGGTAGTGAGACATGTTACTGTTCTTCAAGTATGTTTGCAGTTAACAATTGACTATAAGTGTGAAGATATTCGGACGTTAGTATGTATCAACTATCACGATACAACTAATTATCATACCGTCAGTTTTGAGGTAGAGATTGGGAATGTGAGTGAAATGCTGTGTAAAACAAATCTGACATTATGATGTTTCTGAATACTAGTCTTCTTTTGTTTTTCTGATTTCCTTGACCATGAGTTGTAAAAATGAAGTCATTTAAAATGATGCCTTGTCTTTTATTGCTCATACATACACTAGAAGAAAACACTGTTCAAACTACTGTATCGGGACTCAATCTTTCGCAACATATCATGAAGCAATGTTTCGGTGTTAAAACACACTTATTTTTCAACCCATAGTTTTCTAGCTCCAACCCCACTCCACTTTATATGGGTTTAGGAAGTTTACTGTTGTCACTAGTTCTCTCACTTAAGGCATGTCTCAAAACCACGTGCACAAACCTGTAGTTGGTTGAACAGTTGTGTCATGCATGTGCTATAATCAGCTTGTACATTTTTTTAATTTTTAAAACATTATCTACGAATAGTAGTTTTCTAAAAATTTCTTCATCTCTCCCTTCTTGGGCAGAAAGTGCTATGAGGCTTTTTTTATCTACAGTAACGTAGTTAATCATTGTCCGTTTATTAGACCTGTTAATACAATTTGTTACACGTATAGGTTCAAGTAAGCTTTGGAGATAACACTGACAGAATCTCTGTTGAAGGTCCTTGTGAAGAAGTCGAAGTTATTGTCGAGCGCTTAAAAAGTCGCTTAGCAGAGCTACAAGCTACTGTTGCTATGGCGACAGTAAAAGTAGATCCCAAGTACTACCGACACATAATTGGTAAACAAGGAGCTACCATTGGTCGTTTGCGTGACTATAAAGTACGTGTTAGACTTCCTGATTCAGATCGGGGTGATGCTTTCTCTGATGAAATAGTGATAGAAGGGGATCCAGTTGGAGTTGAAAAGGCAAAGCTCGAAATTCAGCAATTGGTGGAGAGACTGGTATGTATTTTCTTATTTGTAGAAGTATTATGCTTGTTTTTCATACAGCTTCATATACATATAATGAATACAAATCTAATTCACCTTCTATGCATCTGGTTTCGACTTTTTCAAGCGGAGGAAGTCTAATTTTGACTAGAGGTTTCTATGAAATTCTCAAAAACGGTTATAGGGATACTTATTTTATACAAATATGTGTGCAACGCTCTTGAAACGTGGGGAGGTCAGAATAGTGTATTAAAAAGCCATCAAAGATAAAGAACATAAAGTATAGCGGGAACTCAGTATGGAGAACTAGTTTAAAATGAAATAAGAAAATTAGTCCAAAATAAGTAGTAAAATCTCAGGTCTAATAAACAATTTTGGGAGATCTGGGTAGCCCTAACTCAATAGTCACATAAATTGTTTATTAAACTGTAGGTTATATCAATCGTGTGAAGGAAGATTCTATCATGAACCTATTTTTCTAATTAGATACTGTAATAATCCTCTTTTTATAAAGATCTATATAGTCTCAATGATGATCTAAGCCCCGTAGTCCAGCGTTGTTATTACTAAGCCTCTCAGATGAGTGAGCCATCACTTCGACAAAAAACCTACAAACATTTTTCTTCGGGCGTATGGTATGTTTGAATTTTTAGACGTGAAAAAGTTATACTGGTTTGTATGTTGAGTTGATGTTACCTCAGAATAATTATCTATAACACAAACAACAATGTTGTAGGAAGTGTGATGTTACTTCATGCTGTGTCATTGTGACATTAGTAATAATAATAGTAATATCCTACGAATTGAGATGAACATGTCATTTCGTAGTAAGAGGCAGTGTAGGGTCTATAGACATACAAAGTTCATTATGGTGTCTATGAAGTAAACATGTAAACATTTTGTGCATTTTCGTCATACGTTGGCATACTTTTCTTTATATACTTGTTCACTACTCAATTCTGTGTCGTAATTGGATCTACAACTTAACCATTATTGGTCTGTTCTCAATATATATTGTTCAAACTTGATATATCTAAGTCGATATAATAATGTTTCATGTCTTTTGCTTTACGTTACGTGCTGTTTTTACAAGCTAACGTCTCATTTGGTTATTTACGAATCCTTTTTCTGTAAATAGGAACTTAAGATTGTTTATACTGTTTTAGGAGAATGAGAAATGCAAAGATGTGATTATTGATCCTCATATCCAAAATTTGTTACGTTCAAGCATGAATGGGACTTCTTATATTCGTACCATTTACGAGACATTCCCTCAAGTACGCATTATATGGCCTGAAAATGATGCGAATGATTCCATGTTTGAAGAAAATCCAACTAAAAGTATTGTTCAACTAAGAGGTGATCGTCAGCAAGTCGATGCAGCAAGCGAAAAGTTAAACAAACTGATTAAATTAGTGAAAGAGGAGAATTATAGACAAGAGGTAGGATTAAATATCAATGTTCACGAGTTTAATTAGAAGTTTTCTTTTGATGGTATCGATATCTAAAATCATTCATCAATATATTGATTAATACAACCGAATGTCCTAGGTGTGATTCTTTGTAGTGGGGTCATGGATGCACACTGCTGAGAAATCTCATACTTTGACGGATCAGCTGTCCAGTGCTTCCAGGTGTTCAATAGTAGTCTAGCTACTATCAGCTCATGATCTGATTTATGAATGTGATAAGCTTTGTTGGATGTGCTTATCCAGCTGACCAATGTTTGTTTAATATTTGTGCTGATTGACTGCTGAAAAGGTTATCAATATCATGTCTGTTTAACTCCCTTAGTGTTGATCGAATTTTCTCGAGAAAGTTAAAGTGTAGCCGCTATTTGAGAGGACTTAACTTTGGGGCAGGTAAAGCAGTGCTTCAATCCGTAACTCGATGTGTTGTAACTTGTGGCCTTGTGACCTATTAATATATGACGTAATGGTACCACCAATTAGAGAACGGTGTATTATCGACCGATAATTGTGTAAATTATCAACCTTTTTTATTCACCTCCGTCGTTTTCTTCACTTTTATTATTATCATTATTATTTAAACACATAAATATAGGTACAAGGAAGCACCAGATACATATTCACCGCACAAATCTCATTCGATTTGTGTGAGGACTGTGATACTGCCCAGGTGCCCAAACTGAAGCAGATGGTTTTCTTAGGGGGCCACACCCGGAGCCTTTGACCTAAGGATCTGATCCACAAGATAGTGGAGCATCGTGAGGATATGCAGCCTCATGGTAGCCGGTTGATTCATACGCCATTTGTTCCCTCAGGATACTGGAGCCCATGTACACCATTGGTTTGGAATCAGGGTTTTCCAACTCCCCGAGGTGGACTTTTCGTGTCCACCAACCCGGTTAAAGCGCTGACATTCACTTTTTGTCCTCTCGATTTCGTAAACTACACCCTCACTACGAGAAAGCAGTGAGTAGGACTTCTCTGGCAAAGGCTATATACGCGTGTCCATGTGAGAGAATTTGGAGAGGGATAGCTGACTCTCGCCACTCTCGGCCGTACCAGGGCATTTGGGGGCCTTATTTTCAAAAGCTGTACAATCGTATTTAGATGATATAAATAATGTGATGAGCAGGCTGGGACACAGACAAGGAGTTACTCATGCGGTCTTTGGAAAACCTATTTGAAGCCTGGTGTGTATGCATTTATATATTTATTCGTTTATTACTTCTCATCCACAGATACATATTTTCAAAGAGATACGGTCTAGTTTCCTTGGACGTGAATATCCAAGAGTGCGTAAAATTCTTGAAGATACACAAACACGTCTGCAAAATCCTAATGTCGGTTCTAATCCTGAAATTTTCACTGTAATTGGACGAGAGGAAAATGTGCGCAGGGCAATTGAACAGTTAGAAGAACTACAAAAGAAACTGGTTCGTTAACCTTTTTCTTTCTTTCAAACATTGATAAATTAATAGTCTCACCGTATGTATTCAATATTTAAGAAAAATCGTCTGTTCATTGTTTTTGGTAATTTGAATTATTTTGTTTGTGTATACTCCAGTGCTCGTAAAAAATAATAGTACTCTAAAGTTGATATTCTAATCATACCTCAATCTTATCTTATTTTATAGTATTAAATTTAAAGTTTTGGGTATGATAGACATATTCACTTTAAATTTTGTTCTTGCAAGTTTTGACTTTTTTTACCAGTAATTTTTAGCAAACGTGCTCTGATAGTTTCTTATGGATTTATCCACTTACACCCGTTTCCCCTCGTGAAGGAGCATAGGCCGCCCACCAGCATTCTCCATCCAACCCTGTTCTGGGCAATCCTTTCCAGTTAACATTCATCCTTTTCATATCTGCTTCTATTTCCCGGCGTAATGTGTTCTTTGGTCCCCTACTTATCTGATTCCCTTCCGGATTCCAAGTTAGGTTTGTCTCGTGATGCAGTTTGGTAGTTTCCTTAATGTATGTCCTATCCACTTCCAACGTCTTTTCCTAATTTTCTCTTCAGCTGGAATCTGGTTTGTCCTCTCCCATTAAAACACTGTTGCTGATAGTATCCAGCCAGTGAATGTTTAGTATTTTGCGTAAACAACTGTTTATAAATATTTGTACCTTCTTGACGATGGATGTAGTAGTTCTCCATGTTTCAGCTCCGTACAGTAGAACCGACTGTCTTGACGTTCGTATTGAACATCCTCACTTTGACATTGGTTGACAGTTATTTTGAGTTTCATATGATCTTCAATTGTAGAAATGCTACCCTTGCTATAGAAGAGCTACAGGCGGAGTTGGATTTATCCCCAGTAAACGTTTTTTCCACAAGTTGCATTCGATTTCTGACATGGAAACATTTTTGATATATTCGAATTGGAAAAGGAGGTTTTCTTTTAAATCTTGTAAAAATTTAAACGTCAAATAAATTGCTTTATGAATCCGAATTCATCTCCAGTTTTAAAAATAGTGTATTGTGGTAATGACTTTGCGTAATCTATTTCTTCAGAAAGGCATTCTTCATTTCAAACAATCTAGAGTGTCAAGCAAAGATGGATAGTGGCTAGCAGTGGAATCCAGGACGCGCGTTTCGTCCTATTTTAGACTCGTCAGCTGGATGTACCTGCATCTCAGAGTTGATGTTCACTGCTAGCCACTATCCATCTTTGCTTATCATGCTTGTTAATCAAGGCTATATCTAGGTAATACGCACAGTATGCACATATGCCAATTAGAGACTGACCAGTCGCAGTCCTAACACATCGATGGGAAGATTCAAACAAACAATACTAAGTGAATTTAATCTAGAGTGTTGTTTATCTATATATGCACTTCAAATCATTGTTAGAGAATAGATGGAATTTGGCTGGGAGTAGAATCCAGGACTCACATTTTGTCCTATTTGAGACTCATCAGCTGGATGTAGCTGCATCATAGAGTTAATATTCACTCCAGGACTCAAAATCATTGTCGTTCGCTTTAAATACCATCGATTTATCGACTTATCTACCGAATCCGGATCGCCATTCACTTCTGCAATTGGTATGAGTGTTAATTTAATTTAGAATGGTTTGAATTATCACGTTGTTGATATTTTTTGGCTGAAATTCGATCAGTCTTGGTGGTGATGTGTGCATCCTATGCGGATTGCTAACCAAGACTGATCGAATTTCAACCTATTGATTTGTTATTATTTCATAAATAATCTTACCCCCATCAATAGTAGTTGCAGTGAACTTTTCACTCATTATCCACTTTAGTCTACCATCAATATTCTTAATACCATTGTTATCACTTTTATTATTGTCATTATTATTACTATTGTCATTACTGTTAGTGGTTTGTGTATAGTTAGTTGATCATATTTGTCAGTTTCTCTGTCCTTTTAGACTTGATTCTCGTCACTGGTCATATTACAAACGATCCTTCTGGGTCTCTTTCTATCAACCCTTAGATAAACAAATACACACAAGTTATGCTCGTGAAACTAAATGATTTTACAATGTGTTTAGTCTAAAAACTGGTCAATGGATCTGTTGTTAAATATCTTCAAAGGAACATAAGAATTACCTCAAAAGTTTTACACCATAGACTTCTAAAGACATCCGATGAAACCCGGGGTGCATTGAAAGGCCGTTTATCCATGTTCGTAAACTTAAGTATGCTATTGCATGTAACTGAAAAGTATTACCAATCCAAAGTTATGAAGTACATATAATGTGGGTGTTAACGATCCAGGTACAAAGGCACCAAAATTTAGTCCACCAGAATTACAATAGATGACATGAAAGAATTAAGAATATTTTATAATACAAACTTGAAATATTTGTATAAATTCTATTTCCTATGTTGTACATCATTTATTCTGTTTGTTCATGTACATTTTTTATTTATTTCAAAGGCTACTGTTAAAGAAGTAACTGTTTCTATACCATCAGCTTTGACAACTAAATTTGCTGGAGATCAAGCTCCAAGTTTGAGATCAATTTGTGAACAGTGTGAAGGAGTACATATAAGATTTGCAAATAATAATAATAAAAATACTAAAGGACAATCAAATAAATTAAGCCATATGGAAATAATTGTACTTGGACCAGAAAAAGAAGTTCAACAAGCATGTTCATTGTTAGATCAACTCAACGCAAGAGTATCACAATTATGTGCTGAGGTAAGCTTGACACAGCTAAATAAACACAGAATTATCAATGACCATTTCTCATTAACAAAAAAATTAACTTATAATAAATATGTATTTTCAAGTAACCAACGGAAGAGAAAATCAAATTAAGATGATAAAATTGTTTATGATGACGCACGATACGGTTACTAAATACCACGAAACTATAACAAACTAATAAAATCAATAAAAACCAGATATAACAGATGAGGACAGAATACGAGAAGTATGTACAAAATATTTATCTAAAAAAACGAGCGAACGAAGAAAATAATACACCCGAAAAAATGATTGTGCGATGATATAAATAGTGTGGAAGAGATAGAATAGTTTAGAGTTTATGTTTTGATGTGATGGACATAGGTGTTGTTGATTTTGCTGCTGCTGCTGCTGCTGTTGTTGTTGTTGTTATGGCATGTGATGAGTTTGTTAATGGTGATGTAGATAGCGTTGACCAGTTGTTGTTGTTGTGTGCATGTCTGATTATGAGATTGTGTTTAATTTGGACGTAATTTGATCAGATTTTCTGTCGATAGTATCGATTGATTGGTTAATTAATTGGTTGATGATATGTGATGTTGTTGTTGTTGTTGAATAGATGTAATAGTTTGGAGTTTATGTGTTGATGTGAATGTTTGTAAATTGTCGTGTAGTGTTTGTGGTAGGTGTTGTGTATGAGTGAGTGTGTGAATGTGTTTAGAATAGTTGATTGTTTGATTGATTGATGTATGGATGTGTGGATGAATTGATGTAGTTGAGTGTGGATGATGTATTTATATTTTGTCTGGAGTTGATGCAATTTGAGTGAGATAATTTTGTAATTGTGACTATGAGTAAAATGAGAATGGTTATGTGATAGTAGACAGTGTCAATGCACCTTGATGTTGTCGATCGACTGATCGTGCGATGTCGGTGTAATTGTGACAGGGTATTTATAATGCAGAGGATGTAATTGATCTTTCTGCTAACCCACTGTCTTAAATAGATGTTATTTTGGGGTGCTGGAGTTGATATGATTTCGGCCTTACCCGTTCGCACACATTCCATGTTCACCGTTAGTTATAGAAAACTGTGATCGTGTTGACAAACCGTGTGCGAAACATGTCAATGTTTTCTGTGTGATATGTTTGTGAAGGCCTTGATTGTTGTTGTTGTTGTTGTTGTTGTTGTTGAATAGATGTAATAGTTTGGAGTTTATGTGTTGATGTGAATGTTTGTAAATTGTCGTGTAGTGTTTGTGGTAGGTGTTGTGTATGAGTGAGTGTGTGAATGTGTTTAGAATAGTTGATTGTTTGATTGATTGATGTATGGATGTGTGGATGAATTGATGTAGTTGAGTGTGGATGATGTATTTATATTTTGTCTGGAGTTGATGTAATTTGAGTGAGATAATTTTGTAATTGTGACTATGAGTAAAATGAGAATGGTTATGTGATAGTAGACAGTGTCAATGCACCTTGATGTTGTCGATCGACTGATCGTGCGATGTCGGTGTAATTGTGACAGGGTATTTATAATGCAGAGGATGTAATTGATCTTTCTGCTAACCCACTGTCTTAAATAGATGTTATTTTGGGGTGCTGGAGTTGATATGATTTCGGCCTTACCCGTTCGCACACATTCCATGTTCACCGTTAGTTATAGAAAACTGTGATCGTGTTGACAAACCGTGTGCGAAACATGTCAATGTTTTCTGTGTGATATGTTTGTGAAGGCCTTGATTGTTGTTGTTGTTGTTGTTGTTGTTGTTGAATAGATGTAATAGTTTGGAGTTTATGTGTTGATGTGAATGTTTGTAAATTGTGGTGTAGTGTTTGTGGTAGGTGTTGTGTATGAGTGAGTGTGTGAATGTGTTTAGAATAGTTGATTGTTTGATTGATTGATGTATGGATGTGTGGATGAATTGATGTAGTTGAGTGTGGATGATGTATTTATATTTTGTCTGGAGTTGATGCAATTTGAGTGAGATAATTTTGTAATTGTGACTATGAGTAAAATGAGAATGGTTATGTGATAGTAGACAGTGTCAATGCACCTTGATGTTGTCGATCGACTGATCGTGCGATGTCGGTGTAATTGTGACAGGGTATTTATAATGCAGAGGATGTAATTGATCCTTCTGCTAACCCACTGTCTTAAATAGATGTTATTTTGGGGTGCTGGAGTTGATATGATTTCGGCCTTACCCGTTCGCACACATTCCATGTTCACCGTTAGTTATAGAAAACTGTGATCGTGTTGACAAACCGTGTGCGAAACATGTCAATGTTTTCTGTGTGATATGTTTGTGAAGGCCTTGATTGTTGTTGTTGTTGTTGTTGTTGTTGTTGAATAGATGTAATAGTTTGGAGTTTATGTGTTGATGTGAATGTTTGTAAATTGTCGTGTAGTGTTTGTGGTAGGTGTTGTGTATGAGTGAGTGTGTGAATGTGTTTAGAATAGTTGATTGTTTGATTGATTGATGTATGGATGTGTGGATGAATTGATGTAGTTGAGTGTGGATGATGTATTTATATTTTGTCTGGAGTTGATGTAATTTGAGTGAGATAATTTTGTAATTGTGACTATGAGTAAAATGAGAATGGTTATGTGATAGTAGACAGTGTCAATGCACCTTGATGTTGTCGATCGACTGATCGTGCGATGTCGGTGTAATTGTGACAGGGTATTTATAATGCAGAGGATGTAATTGATCCTTCTGCTAACCCACTGTCTTAAATAGATGTTATTTTGGGGTGCTGGAGTTGATATGATTTCGGCCTTACCCGTTCGCACACATTCCATGTTCACCGTTAGTTATAGAAAACTGTGATCGTGTTGACAAACCGTGTGCGAAACATGTCAATGTTTTCTGTGTGATATGTTTGTGAAGGCCTTGATTGTTGTTGTTGTTGTTGTTGTTGTTGTTGTTGTTGAATAGATGTAATAGTTTGGAGTTTATGTGTTGATGTGAATGTTTGTAAATTGTCGTGTAGTGTTTGTGGTAGGTGTTGTGTATGAGTGAGTGTGTGAATGTGTTTAGAATAGTTGATTGTTTGATTGATTGATGTATGGATGTGTGGATGAATTGATGTAGTTGAGTGTGGATGATGTATTTATATTTTGTCTGGAGTTGATGTAATTTGAGTGAGATAATTTTGTAATTGTGACTATGAGTAAAATGAGAATGGTTATGTGATAGTAGACAGTGTCAATGCACCTTGATGTTGTCGATCGACTGATCGTGCGATGTCGGTGTAATTGTGACAGGGTATTTATAATGCAGAGGATGTAATTGATCTTTCTGCTAACCCACTGTCTTAAATAGATGTTATTTTGGGGTGCTGGAGTTGATATGATTTCGGCCTTACCCGTTCGCACACATTCCATGTTCACCGTTAGTTATAGAAAACTGTGATCGTGTTGACAAACCGTGTGCGAAACATGTCAATGTTTTCTGTGTGATATGTTTGTGAAGGCCTTGATTGTTGTTGTTGTTGTTGTTGTTGTTGTTGTTGTTGTTGTTGAATAGATGTAATAGTTTGGAGTTTATGTGTTGATGTGAATGTTTGTAAATTGTCGTGTAGTGTTTGTGGTAGGTGTTGTGTATGAGTGAGTGTGTGCATGTGTTTAGAATAGTTGATTGTTTGATTGATTGATGTATGGATGTGTGGATGAATTGATGTAGTTGAGTGTGGATGATGTATTTATATTTTGTCTGGAGTTGATGTAATTTGAGTGAGATAATTTTGTAATTGTGACTATGAGTAAAATGAGAATGGTTATGTGATAGTAGACAGTGTCAATGCACCTTGATGTTGTCGATCGACTGATCGTGCGATGTCGGTGTAATTGTGACAGGGTATTTATAATGCAGAGGATGTAATTGATCCTTCTGCTAACCCACTGTCTTAAATAGATGTTATTTTGGGGTGCTGGAGTTGATATGATTTCGGCCTTACCCGTTCGCACACATTCCATGTTCACCGTTAGTTATAGAAAACTGTGATCGTGTTGACAAACCGTGTGCGAAACATGTCAATGTTTTCTGTGTGATATGTTTGTGAAGGCCTTGATTGTTGTTGTTGTTGTTGTTGTTGTTGTTGAATAGATGTAATAGTTTGGAGTTTATGTGTTGATGTGAATGTTTGTAAATTGTGGTGTAGTGTTTGTGGTAGGTGTTGTGTATGAGTGAGTGTGTGAATGTGTTTAGAATAGTTGATTGTTTGATTGATTGATGTATGGATGTGTGGATGAATTGATGTAGTTGAGTGTGGATGATGTATTTATATTTTGTCTGGAGTTGATGTAATTTGAGTGAGATAATTTTGTAATTGTGACTATGAGTAAAATGAGAATGGTTATGTGATAGTAGACAGTGTCAATGCACCTTGATGTTGTCGATCGACTGATCGTGCGATGTCGGTGTAATTGTGACAGGGTATTTATAATGCAGAGGATGTAATTGATCCTTCTGCTAACCCACTGTCTTAAATAGATGTTATTTTGGGGTGCTGGAGTTGATATGATTTCGGCCTTACCCGTTCGCACACATTCCATGTTCACCGTTAGTTATAGAAAACTGTGATCGTGTTGACAAACCGTGTGCGAAACATGTCAATGTTTTCTGTGTGATATGTTTGTGAAGGCCTTGATTGTTGTTGTTGTTGTTGTTGTTGTTGTTGTTGTTGAATAGATGTAATAGTTTGGAGTTTATGTGTTGATGTGAATGTTTGTAAATTGTCGTGTAGTGTTTGTGGTAGGTGTTGTGTATGAGTGAGTGTGTGAATGTGTTTAGAATAGTTGATTGTTTGATTGATTGATGTATGGATGTGTGGATGAATTGATGTAGTTGAGTGTGGATGATGTATTTATATTTTGTCTGGAGTTGATGTAATTTGAGTGAGATAATTTTGTAATTGTGACTATGAGTAAAATGAGAATGGTTATGTGATAGTAGACAGTGTCAATGCACCTTGATGTTGTCGATCGACTGATCGTGCGATGTCGGT